ACAGCAAATAGCAGCATTCAAACACCCACACGCCAACTGCCCCCCCGCCGGTGCAAAACAACCCTCCAAAAAACGAAGCAACCAAGGGCGAGGTGAGAGCACACAGCAGTCTGACCCCCCGGCAGCGTCGAACGTGCCAGTGTCCCCACGGCTGTCCCGCCACCGTCATCCAAATACAGACACGCGTTTTCGGACAGTTACACCGGGAGAAAGGACAGCGGTAGGCGCAGAACCAATTCACGCCTGCGCTGTCGGAGCTCGTCCCAGGAAGATTTAATCGGGAGCGCTGCAGGTACCGCCCCAGCATCCCTGCGGAGCCGGCAAGAACGCGTCAGCGACCGGGAGAGCCCGCAACGCGGAGTTAAGGGGGTTGAGGCCGAGCCCAAGCCGAGTGCATGCACAGCGGGTATCGGCCAAGCCGAGTCCGTGACGGTGCTTGTTACGGGTTGCCCCAGGATCTCTTCACTAGCCCAGAGAAGGCCTTGTTCGCCTCTGCCCGCCGCAGTGGCTGCTAGAGCACAAACTCCCACTCAGAGCAACCTCCTGAGTGACCAGGGCCGCATCACCTGGCCACCAAAAGGCGTCTCGGCCGAAGGGCGGTTTGTCCTCTCTGTGAAGTCAAGTCCTTGCCTCTGCGTCCTACCTAGAACAGAAAAACCTCCAACCTAGAGCAACGCCACTGCCCCACCTCAGGAGAAATGAGAAACTGGGTACACAGACAACAGGCCTAGTCTCCTCATCGGTCTCTCAAAAACTTTTAAGATGACCTTTCAGGTCCTTTCCAAGCTAAACCATTCCATGATTCTACAAAAACACGACCTGAATCTTAGGAGGTACCCGAGTTCCGAGCCAATCGCTCGCCCCCACGGATGCTGCAGAGGGAGCAGAGACGCGAGACTGGCGCTTACATACCGCTAACAGCGAGTTAGGTGCCCACCGTCACGTCTCCCGGCGGGGCATTTTGGTTAGCATCCCTCGTTTAGGAATGCGTGGGGATGGAGAGCTGTGCTTATTAATGCCAGAGAAAGACAGAACGTTTTAGTACTCTGGAAACACTCTACAGGACAGCTACAGTAACCTGAAACTGAATACTTCTCGTGAATATTTCATCAAATGAGATAATTTTTCAAGCGTTTTTGGCATGACTGAGTCCAGTACTTGCAAAAACGGCCACGGGGAACAGAAAATACAAAGGCACAGCAAGATGTTACTGGTCCCAGAGTGGCAGATGTTGGGAAAACGGAGTCTGCCCAACCGTGTCTTCGTTAGTGTTTGCAAGACCTGCAGCGGGAACTACCCATCCCCAAGTGCAGAATAAGAACAAAAAAAAAAAAAAAAAATCACACTTTCAAGATACTTTGTTCAACTTCAGCCAACGGAGCTTTTCCTCCTCTGTCCCCGAGGTGGGATGTGCTGGGAATGTGAACAGAGGCACAACGCTCAACAGCTGTCACATCCAGTGGATGGAGTTTGGTAGGCCAAGATCAGACTAATTACAGTACGATTTATCAAAAAGAGGAGCACGATATTAATCGGTCATTTCTCTTACATTGTTCTTCTCCTCTGACTAGCTAACACTGCTGCTGCTGACGTCTGCAGTCAGTAACGCTGGGAACCTCGGCCTGCCTGGAGTGGGGCTCAGGAGCACCTAGTGCTCCAGTTCAGAGCTGATGGTACAAGTCCTGCTGACACTGCAAACACAACAAGCTGGCTGTATCACCAGTTACAACCCAAACCACGGCCCTTCATATTCCCACAGGGATACCAGCACAGGGAAAGCTAACAAGTCTGCAGGCTGCCAAGATCTTCAGCTTTTGAAAACCACGTTGCACTTGGCTTTCTTGGGTTCAGAAAAATTAATTTGATTTCCTAAAGTATAAGGTACTGAGGAAAAGTACTGGAAAAAGAATGTGGAATTCACCTGGGGAGAAAATGCCCTATAGGTCATGAAACAAAAAACTGTCCTTCTAAAAAAAGTGTGCTATCGGTCACAGCTTTGCCGTCAACGAAGATGCAGGACTGCTATGCAATTTATGCTGAGGAAAGGCCACGTGAAGGAGCAACGGCTTCGCCTGTGGGCTGCTGTGGCCAACTCACGATGTCCTCCTGTATCTGTGCTGCTGAGGTCAGCGCTGCTGGGTGACACCCCCCTGAGCCTCACAGCCAGTCCAGCTACAAAAATACTGGGGTGCCAGGGGAGTGGATGTTGCCTCCAATCAGCAGACTATGCCCTGAACTCCCCCTGCCATCAACTCTGACGCAGTGGCTCCTGTCCTACGTATCTCAGCCACCTAAAAGACACCGTACACGGGTTTTCCAGCTGGACGGGAGGTTTGACCCAATAGAGTTTGGGTTCAGTGAGCACAAAGAAACGGACCTCTCTTCTACAAGCACGTCCGTCAATCAGGATGCATAACGCTGGTCGAGAGGGGGGCAAAGAGATTTCTGTCTTGCTTGAAACACCGCTTGCTGCCTACTTCCTGACCGGTGAGGTCAGAACAGTAACAGCTACCATGCCGTGCCACAAAGAAACAGCACTGAACCGTTGCATCTACGCTGAGAGAGCAGCGGAGAAGTCACCAGCTGCAGCCTTCGGCGCTAAGCCCTCTCACCAACAAATTCACAGCTTCACGGCTGCCAGAGCAGGATCCCCTAGAGCAGATCACACAGGAACAAGTCCAGGGGCTTTGGAAAGTCTCCAGGGAAGGAGACTCCCCCACCTCTCTGGGCAGCCTGCTCAGGGCTCTGTCACCCTCACAGGGAAGAAGGGTTTCCTCATGGTCAGGCTGAACCTTCTATTCCTTAGATCCTGCGTAGCGCAGCAAACCCCGACTCTTGTTTTCACAGAGCTGGTTACAAGCTGCGAGACGTAGTGAGGGTGAGGGTGTGAAAATCTAGAGCTTAAGAGAGAAAATTGTCCGTCACGTAATTAAGGATTTGTTATTTCTTCTTTTTCTTTTCTTGAATTACAACTACGATCTCATTTTACCTACAACTCTGGAAAAATCTGTTTGCTAGTCCAAATTTGGATCCCGTTGTCTAATGTTAGGCTCCCATTTTTGGAAAACATCAGCCCATTTCTCCTTAGTGAACAGCCCGAACGCACCAACTCAAAACCGGGATTTCGACAAACTTCAGCAGTCCCCCGTCTTGCAGAGGAAAACACCACAAGTTCTAACAAACAACCAGGATATTCCAAAACATTCTGCCACTAAAACCCTGCAGCAGATACTTGTTCAGTCTTGACTCAAAACTAAAGAACACCTGGGAAGTTAATCCAGCTGATTAATTTCCTTCAGCGCCCTGCAATAAGCTCAGCAGAGTAGGTTTGTTCAGTACACAGCAAGAGATGACCTGCTAGCTCTGACACAAAGGTTATTCGTTTACCTGGAGCGTAATTTAATTTATGTTTTATACCCACGTTTTCCAGCGCTCAGTGGTCTTTCGTAACTTCGCTTACAACAAATAGTACTTTCTGCCCGGCAAAGTTACTAACAACTTGCACTCAGGCCTCATGGTTTAAAGGATCCCTGCGAGGTGCAAGTGTCTGACTGAAGGAGCAACGCTGCGCTCGCTTTCCTAAGAATCATTCTAAAGCAAACGGCACGCTTAAAAACGTTAAGTTCTGTAAAAGTAGGAATTTAGAGCTGAAGAACCGCCCCAAAAGAATTCACAGATCAGCAGGAGAGAAGCAGCAGCTCACAGCCTTGTCCTTAAACTCCAGGACAGGGCACACTTACTCTCCAGCAGGTTACGTGAAAGCAAAGACAACCAGAACATACTCCCTTTGTTCAAAGAAAACAGTAAATGCTTTTTCATCCTTACTTGATCAACATTGCTTGATTTGGCAGCAGTTCCAGGTGAATTTTCCCTCCTTCCTGCGTTCTTAAATAAGCAAATTCCTCCAACATATCAATATCTGAAGAAAACGTTAAAGATTTGAGTCGGAAAAAAAAAAAAGGATAGAGAACATTCCTTCCCATCCTGCGCAGGGGAAGCCACATTGCTGCAAGGACAGACCAAAGGAACAGCTACTGAAGTGTCTCATTTTTCAAAGCGGTGAAGGTCACAGCGTTTATCCTAATCCTCCACAGATTCACGAGAAACGGCTTTTTCAAGTGCAAACTGCACGCCCCAGTTGATTTATTTCCTTTCTGCATTTCTTGGTATTTACAGTCAGAGGTGAAGAAAGCTCATCTCTCCAAACTCCCTGTTTGCAGCTCCTTTTCCTGCACTGCGGGTAGCGGTGCGGCTGGGAGCGAAGGACATGCCACCAGGGTGGCACACACCAGCCTTCTTAGTTTCCCATTTTGGTCCCTCGTTTAGCCTTTCCCCCCGCCTTTAACACCAGAGCTTTTTCAGTTCTCTTGGCTGGGAGTTAGAGCCCCTGCTTCCAGGGGACCACGGCTGGATGCCCCTGGAGCACAACGCCCTACGTCTCTTCCCCAAACGGCCGCCACCGCTTGCGCAAGCGGCCCAAGCTGGTTTTATGTCCCGGTGACGCGCAACTGCCACGTCCTGAAGGGTTCTCCCAAGTGCCAGAACAGGTGCCCAGGGGCATACCCACGCTCCGCTGCGCGCGGCGACGAGAGGCCGGCACGGTATGGAAATGACTACGGAGCGTGATTCACGGGGAGAGCAGCTGCCGAAACTATCCGACAGCTTTCTCCCCAGCCCAGCACGCAGACCTGGGTGTGAAAGGCATTCTCGGTTAGAGAAAGGATACTCGTGACGTAGTTGAAAAAATTCTCATACTGGAAGTTCCCTTGTTGGCAGATTTTGTTGATAGCTTTCAGGAACAAGTTCTCCCCCCTCGGCCACTCGTGCTGAAGCAGAACCACTACGTGGCCCAGCGCCATGTCATCTCTGCTGTCTGTGAAAGCTCTGAGCTTTGGGGGGGAAAAATTGACATCGAGACAATCAGGAAACACACGTTGCTTGGATAAATATGTGGGATTCAGCTCACCTACACCTGTGCACATACAGAGTTCTTTGGGAGTGTATTTCATTCTGCACTAATAAATACATTTAAAATAGGCTAGAAATTTCTAGCCAACATACCAAATTCACTCCACTGACCTGCAAGGGAAGTCTGAATACAGACAGGAATATTTTGAGATTAATTCAAATCTCTTCTACCCAAACTTAAAGAAGAAACCTTCCTCCAGCAACACTCCTCCCTCCCTCCCCCAGCGAAAAGACACACCACAGACCCCTTTCGGTGAGCAGCTCTTGCGGGACAGCCCTTCCCACCCAGGCACACCCCTGGGATAAGGCCTTGCAGTTTCAGGACCCCAGGTAGATAAACTAGGCCTCAGAGCCAGCAGAGAAGCCGTGGCTACAGCTTACCTTGAAACAAGCTAACAGTAGATGAAGGCAGTACGGCATGACAGCTCTGCTGGTACACGGCCAAAGCTTCAAATCGGATCCTGCAACACAACAGTTCAGCACACGCTTCTTTAGGGGTCTCAGGATTATCTACGTTTGAAAGAAATTAGAATGGAGCAAACCAAACTGCCAGATCTCAGGTCGGGAGGACAGCTTTGAAGGAAAATTATGAATGATAGAATCATACAATCACAGAACGGTTTGGGTTGGAAGGGCCCTAAAAGCTCATCTAGTTCCACCCCCCCTGCCATGGGCAGGGACCCCTTCCACTAGACCAGGTTGCTCCAAGCCTCATCCAGCCTGGCCTTGGACACTTCCAGGGCTGGGGCATCCACAGCTTCTCTGGGCAACCTGTCCCAGTGCCTCCCCCCCCTCTCCGGGAAGAACTTCTTCCTGATATCTAATCTAAACCTCCCCACTTTCAGTTTAAACCCGTTCCCCCTTGTCCTGTCACTACAGGCCCTTGTAAAAAGCCCCCCCCAGCTTCCTTGTAGCCCCTTCAGGCACTGGAAGGTGCAATAAGGTCTCCCCGGAGCCTTCTCTTCTCCAGGCTGAACAAGCCCAACTCTCTCAGCCTGTCCCCATGGCAGAGGGGCTCCAGCCCTCGGAGCATCTCCGTGGCCTCCTCTGGACTCGCTCCAACCGGTCTATATCCTTCTGATGTTGGGGGCTCCACAGCTGGACGCAGCACTCCAGGTGGGGTCTCACAAGAGCCGAGTACTTGATTCAAAATCAAGTTTCACATTGTAAACTGTTTCTCTTTTCCCACAGCAGGACTTTGGCACCACTACACTTTAACAGGTACCAGCAGGAAAACCATGCACAAAACCAAAAGGGATGATGAATTTCCTCCCTTTTCATAATACAAAAGAGAAGAATCGCACATTCAACTGCAAGGCAGGAACTAAAATTGAGTTTAGGGCAGTAGCAACTCCATACCTTTCCTGAATTTAGACTTGACTTTAGGTTGCTCTTCTTGCACTTTACCTCCTTCTTGTATTGGCAGTAAAATACAGCACATGAGGTCAAGCACTTTTTCACATGTTTTCTAGAGATAGAGACACATGATTTAATAAATCTAAATTAAAGTTCTTAAAATTCAGATGTGTTAATAATGATTAAAAATTTCAGACACCGCAGAAGAAGAAAAACAACCACAAGTTCCCTGCTAGAAGTAGACTTACTGTGTAACAGTCTGGCTGAGGAAAAGGACAGAGCTGTTCTGAAACAATCTCTGAGACCCTATGCAAGTCGTTATCGTTGTGAAAAAACAGGCACTCAAGAGGGTGAGATGAATGCAACTGCAAGCAAAAACTGTTTTGTTTTGAAGGGTAAAGTTTTCAAATGAATTCTTAGAATAGTTTTTTTAGAAGCTTGTTCTGTCCAAGATAAAAACAGAAAGGAAAATGGCAATCTGACAGCGTGACAGAAATGCAATGAATTCTTCATGCTATTTCCTAGAGACTATGAGAGACCTCTCTGAAATCTCACCGATATCACATTTCCAGTGCAAGAGGAGTAAAGTGGAAGGGACAGAGCCCTGTCCAGTGGCACTAGGATGACACTGGGTCCTACGAGATCAGGCCTTTATCACTAGTGCTGACACTGACTGCCCCAGGCCACCAGGCACTTCTGTAATATGAAAATCACCGAACACGTACTGCAAAGGTAAAGCAAGTTCAGAGGTCAGGCGATTGATAACCCATGCTTTTCCAAGATGATCACTGAAGTTTCTTGTCTAGAAACATCTCTCACATAGTCTGTTTGGTAAAAGGCTCATGGACAGCCAGTTAATGCGCCAGGAAGCCCAATTCTCCCTGTGAGCACGGATTTTTCAGCAGACCCTGGCTTATGTTGGAGACCCTGCCAAAAGCAGGCTAGTGGGAAAATTCAACGGAGCCACAACGACGGAGAGCACAGGATGAGGTGACGAAGGACCGGTGTGCTGCATCCTGTACGTACCTGATATTCTCCAAGGGCAAAGTGGCATGTCGCTAACTGGATTAGTGCTCTCTGGTTTTCCAGGGATCCTTGTCCTGTAATTTGCTGCGGAGAATGAGAGCCCTGAAGAGCTGCTAAATGATGTAGACTGCTAATTGCCTTTTTGTACTGCCCCTTTAAAAAAAAAAAAAAAATTATATAGAACCACAGTGTTAGGGTCTGCTGTACACAATGGGTAGAAAGATAGAAATAAAAATTCCCTTATAGAAAGCTTTCAAAATGAAGCATGTCCCAGTAACAGGGCTTCAAAACTTTCAGCTAGCAGAACACCCCCCAGGGATGTGCTGAGTACAGGGGTGTGGATCGATCACTTGCAAGGCAGTGAGAAGACAAACAGAATTCTGCCTCAAAACGCCTGCTTACAAAATCGCTTTTAACACTGAAACACATGATCAATGCTCTTCAGAGTTAATCGTTAGTTTATTTAGACTAATAAAGTTTGGAACAGCTTTTGTTTGGGTACAAGCAACAATAAAAGACCTTCAAAGGAAAAATATAAAAGAACCATCTGTGGAACAAAGGTTTTACTTGGAATGAGTACAGTCAGCCTAATTTCTGAGGAGAATCATAGAATGGTTTGGGT